TCTCTCTCTCTCTCTCTATCGTTCTCTCTATCTCTCTCTCTCTTTCCTCTACGCAGTTCTGTTTGTTGTGATGGGGAAATCCACAAAGTGGTGTGGTTAAGGTCGGTTGTCCGTCCTTTAGCCCGCATTATGCGGGCCAAAACACGCCATGCCGACGTCCTTCGCGAGCAAGCGAGACGCATTAGAAAGGACACTCACGCGCCAGCTCATACTCAGCCATGGGTCTGCACCTGACCTACTGTCAGGCATTTAACGTCTTCCGGTTCAGACACCGCCAGCTTCTGCGAGCGTCAACAGCATCGAAGCCAAATATGCAATGAATTCGGTCAAGCCTTGACCGACGCCACGTGCCGCCACAGGGAACCTCTCAGTGACGTCATCGCTGCTGGACCTGACGACGCCGCGGCGTGAGCCGATGCGGGTGACGGTGGCGGCCGAGGAGGTGACGCGGGAGCTGCGCGAGCGGGGCCTCTCCGTCACCACCGACGTGGTGGTGCTGCTCGAGGACGACGTCCGCCACCCGCCCGAGTTCGGACGGAGCTTGTGAGTCCGGCGGAGGCGACGTGGGAGGAGGGTGAGGGGGAGACATGTGACCAGGGGTGTAGTGTGGGAGGGCCTTGGGGTACGTTCCGCCTTGTGAGTCCGGCGGGAGGCGACGTGGGAGGAGGGTAAAGTGAAGGAGAGATGTGACCAGGGGTGTAGTGTGGAGGGTCTGGGTATGTTCCGCTTGTGAGTCCGGCGGAGGCGACGTGGGAGGAGGGTGAGGGGAGAGATGCGACCAGGGGTGTAGTGTGGGAGGGCCTTGGGGTATGTTCCGCTTGTGAGTCCAGCGGAGGCGACGTGGGAGGAGGGAGAGGGGAGGGATGTGACCAGGGGTGTAGTGTGGGAGGGCCTTGGGGTATGTTCCGCTTATGAGTCCGGTGGAGGTGACGTGGGAGGAGGGAGAGGGGGAGGATGTGACCAGGGGTGTAGTGTGGGAGGGTCTTGGGGTATGTTCCGCTTTACGACATTTTTACATGCACTTTTTTGCATGTGAATGAATGTGAGTGAATAAAAGTCAAGCAAACACGTACAAAATGACTACATAGAAAACGAGTGATATGGTCATACAACATGCAGCAAATTTTGTGCGCGTGCGGCAAAGATAAAATTATGATTGCTTAATTATTTCATTAAGTAATAATATTAATAATATTCATGAAAAATAGTGACGATAATTTAATTAACGATAAAAAGATGTCCGTAACAACTTTACGTGGGCCTGTTCCCCATTGCGAAACCCTACATACTCCCCTGACTGTAAGTTGGTACCAGATTCGGGGTGCGAGATGTGAGTGTCCATCATGTTCTCCTTTTTGGGGCTGTGTCTCATGGAGTCACTGGTCTGTGTCGGGGCATTCTCTCACATCGAGAGGAGACGCTTTCACGGCGTTGGGGAGAGCATGGGGGTAAGGCATTGTGACCTTCATTGTGACCTTTGGCCGTGTCGAAACGACCAGTGAAGCAGTAGTCAGCAGCGCAGTTCGGGAGAGCGTGAGGGCAGAGACGGGAGAATCGACACCGTTACACAATCCTGACTTGATTGATTTCACCATCTGCGAACCACACGGGCATAAAAATTGCTGTTGAGTGTCGGTGCCCGAAGGATGGGTCAAATCGAGCCTCGACAGATGTGGCTGTGTTGTGTCTGGGTTAGAGGAGAATTTTTGATTTTTAAAACAGCCTGGTGCCGCTGCTAGAGTTGACCTGACCTGACCTGACGGTGACCTGACCTGTGAGTTCATCGCGGTCGGGCATCTCCCGCCAGCGGAAGAACATCGACATGAATCCGCCTTCGCATCGCTCCGGTACCGCCGGTATTGATCCAGCACCAACCACGTTGTCGGTTCCGGCGGATCAAAGAGCTACGTTTCCACTCCGTATGTCTGGCGATGACGTGACGCCTGAGATACAGAAAGGTGGGCTCGCCGCCCGCGGAGCGCCCTCTCCACGACCTCTGACCCCAGGCCCTGACCGCTGTCGGCAGGTACGTGACCCAGCTGTTCGAAAGCCCGCCGCTGGGCACCATCCTGAACTTTGCCCCGCCGCTGGAGACCACTGTAAGTTTTCCAAAGGTCAGGGCAGGTCAGCACTCCCACGGCACACGCGTAAGGTCCAACGGAAACGAGTCCGTGTCCGCGATGTGACCCTAGAGCGCTTGCCCGCATGCCCTAGCGTGGTGCTTTGCATGCCGCCGTTGCATGCCGGCGTTTGGACTTGGGACAGAAAGGCTGCGGCTGCTTGACAGGTTATGGTGAAGTCGTCAACCGTCGACGACGTAGGCCGTTCGAAGAACGGTCATTCGCGCTGAGATCGACGTACGGGGTGTTGCATGATTAATTGTTGCAAGAAGCAAGCCGCCCATGATACCTTTGTCAGTATTGTCCGTGACGACTTTACAAACATGTGAGGCACGCTCCGTTATTTTGGTGCGGAATGCATACGGGGTGTAAGTTGAGTCAACTTGATTAATGCGCTCCTCGGTGGAACTAATCCATGTTTGACATGGCTTGCTGTGAAAATGTTACACAGACAATTTTACAATGATGTTTGGGGTACTTTGATCCTGCCAAGCTGTACGTTCTAGATTTGACCCACAGCGACCAAAGTTGTACCTTGTTATATCTAATGTAACGTATCTTATGTATGACATGTATCTTGTACCAAGTTCATAACCGCATTCTGACGTTATGCATGACAAACTTGACCTGCACTGACTGCTCATAAATTGTGGCTTTCTCTTAATGTGATCACGCCGAAATTTTCGAAACGAATGGCTCGCAATGTACGAAATTGAAGAACGAATTTGGCAAGTACTGACGGCGACGCAGGATCGATAAAGCTACACAGTGAAAAGAGTCTGCCGACATCCCTTTTACGCACCGAATAAGCACAAAAGAACGCGTGGCATTCCCGAAAGGCACAGTAAAGGTGAATCAGGCGTCCGTGTTTGCGACAACACACTGCCGGCGGAGAAGGCCCGCCACTTCCGCCACGGCGTGAGGCTGGCGTGAGGCTGGCGGCCGTGCGTGAGGCCGGCGTGAGGCTGGCGTGAGGCTGGCGTGAGGCGCAGCCGTGCGTGACGGGGCGCAGTTTGCCGCCGCCGCCGCTGCGGTGGCCATTCGCCCTCTCTCTCACGTCCGCCCACTGTGTGGCCGCGCCTCCGGGATCGATGGGAGGAGCGACGACAATCATAACGGTCAGCCCGGCCGGCACGGGCAGGCCTCTCCCCCTCCCCCCTCCCCCTCCCCCCCCCCGCCCGGGGACGTGCCGCCCATCGGCCGATGAGGTTGGGGACGTTTTGGCAGTGGCGCTTCTATGGAAGGCTTCAATGGAATCCCGGGTGTGATCTAGACGTCTGCACAGATAAGGTCTCGAGGCTGCAAGCTGTCTCAAGCGATCTTTTGATTGGACAGAACAGTTCAGAACAGAACAGAACAGTTGATTGGCAGTTCGGACCGTGTTGTTGAAGGGCTGCCGGCGACGGACGTTTGGCTGTCCACACGCCATTCCAGCGTGCTCTTTGTGTTGAATCAACTTCAGTGCCATCTGGCCATCCAGTTACGCTGCGCATGTCTTGTTTGTATCGCTCGGTGGTGTTTTGGTGATGCGCATGCGGCATTTTACGTTACTTCAATATGAATACGGCTGGGTTTGCTTTACCCAGTAGGGGAGTCCATGCCGAGAAGCACGCTGTCTGTCTCATACCTCCGTATTTGAACCGGGTGCGCTTGTCTCAATGGCATGCCTCCGAAACAACACCGCACATCACATGCCAGTGTGGCCAACATCCATGCGCTGCAGACGATGACAAACTTTGTGTTGTACCTACATGTGCGCGTAAAGAGACCCTTCCAACGCCATCAGAACACATCGTTATGCATATGAATGTGCCATCAAGCTCGCTATGCTGAACATTTTCAGTCAGGCTGTTTTTCTGTCGGTGTTCGTCAATGTGTGTTTATTTTACACTTAGGAGTACACTTGCGGGACGAAATGCTTAAAACGCTCTTACTTTGTATCTGAATGCGTGCAAAGCCCCTGTGGAGCATGCCCTGTCAATCCGTTTAATCCAGATTGGCTTGCGCAAGTCCGCCTGCTACGCTGTTCACCTCTGTCTCCCATCTCCGTGCCGCCCCACTTGCCTCTGGTGTGCACTGGTCTAAAGAACGATAAAAAGCTGAGAATCTCCCAAAATGACGTACAGAAAGCTAGCAGCCTTATGTCACATGTCGAGTACCAGTAGGACACTTGGCTTTCTGTTAAACGTTAAGCGCATTGTGCCTCCTAGCCTGAGGCGAGATGCCATCACAAGCTTTTCCCAAGCATACGCGGAGCAAAACAAACTGAAAAGCCCAGTTCAGAGCTTCGCGTGTAGCATTTGGGGGGATCGTTCCGCTTACGAAAACGAATTTCAGAAATCAACACTCGCACACCTTATGAACGTTCCGCCGGCCTTTTTGGTTTGATCCTACCAACAGTGTCTCAGAGTCAGTCTCAGTCGGTCTCAGTCAGTCTCAGCCTCAGATTTCAAGGCCAGTGCGTGCCTACGCCAGCTCTCTGAGGGTGCCAGTCTGCGATTTCAATGGCAAGAACCACGTGACACAACGAACGAGCTGTGCACACGACTTTGCCAACAGTTTAAAGACAAAGCGCTCCCAGATTGTCGTGCCGGATGTCAGCGGCATTAATCGCATTCCTGGAACGGCCCGGGTCGGAGGTATCGCCAGCTTCGCCCCGTGTTGCCGGCACCGACACTGGCCCATCGACCCGACCCCGACGCGACCTTCAGTCGGCGGGCAGGGGCAATGCCACTCACGTCTGCGATCCGCTATTGGAAAAACACGGCGCGGTCTCATCACGAATGCATCACCGCACTGGCCGTGGTGAAATTGCGAAAATTACTGGACTTCGTTTACGGTGATGCCGGTGTCGTTGTTTAGCTTTGTGGAGAGCTTTGGCTGCCCACTTACTGAGTCTGCGTCAGTGTCTATCCGTCTGTCGTTTTCTTTTGTCATGTGTCTAAGCCATGTCTGTTTCTCCGCTAATTGTTTGCTGTCGCTCTGCGTCAGCTTGCTCTTTTGGGCCTGAATGGGCCCACTGTTAATTCCCTGTTGTCGTCCAATGTGAATGTTTGCCCTTCGCCGTCCAGTTCATTTGTTCTTTTTTGTCTTCGTCTGTTCTTCGCTACGTTTGACGTCTGTCGCATATGCTCGCATGTGTCTGTACTCGTGCCTTCGTCATGCTTGCTCGCGATCGGCGTCGCCGAGAGCTCTTCCTTTCGAATATTTCCCTCCTTTCGCCTTTGAAAACCATTCAACCCTCCCTATCTTGCCATGGCGCCGATTCTGCTCATCCACTTCAGCAGCTCATATACTGCATAAGCTCCCGTCTCCTCCCCATCTGAAACAGCAGAGCACCGTCTCCTCCCCATCTGAAACAGCAGAGCACCGTCTCCTCCCCATCTGAAACAGCAGAGCACCGTCTCCTCCCCATCTGAAACAGCAGAGCACCGTCTCCTCCCCATCTGAAACAGCAGAGCACCGTCTCCGCCCCCGACCACCGATGAATGTCACCACGTAGTTTTCTCGACTCTGCTTTTCAACCCTACCTCGTCGATAACGACCATGCACCAGGCCTTTGCCTGTCCTCGCCCCCCTGCCCCAGTCCTGACCCAATCTCATGTTCTGACCCCTGACCTCTGACCTTGGCCCTGGCATGCAGGGTCAGCGGGGCACGTTCGCGCTCAGCATCATCGGTGACCTCGCCTCCAAGTGTTTCGAGGTGGAGCCCACCGTTCTCAGCGGTGATGTCCAGTTCGACATCCGAGTCAAGAACAACCAGCTGCTCGACTTCGAGAAGCTCGTGCGGCCGGAGATCCGGTTCAGGGTGAGTGCCACGTGACGCGGATCTGACGACGGATCTGGCGCGGGTATGACGCGGATCTGACGTCGGACCTAACGATGGACCTGACGCGAATCTGACGGCGGATCTGGCGCGGGTCTGAAGACGGATCTGACGCGGATCTGGCGCGGATCTGACGACGGATCTGACGATGGAGTTAGCATGGGCGCAGGGTGGGGGCAATTGTGTAGCATATTCAGGCTAATTCATTATTTTTTATTAAGAAACCGGAGCACCACGCACAGTTTGCTGCGCCGCTTGCATTGAGCACCAGCGAATGTATTGGCCATATTAGCGTGCAGGGGCCATGGCGCAGCCGAGATTCGAACCCGGGTCCCACGTGGAAGTCCGAAGTGTGTGTGCTAACCGTTCGGCTATGACGCTCTCGAAGTGACGTAGGTCGGGGAGAAGAAATGAGGTGACAAGCGCTGGAGATGACAGGGTGCGTGTAGTCTGAGCGATCGGTGTTTACTAGCGACACTAGGAGTCTGCTGCCTTAGACCGCCATGACATTCAAATTTCGCTGTCACTTTTGACTTTCCTTGCAAGATGAAGGTTTCAGAGGTATGACTCCACTCGGGTGCTGATTCCAAGCAAATTTCACCATCACAATAGAAGTAAGAAACTTAGTAGCCCTCCAGTAGCCCTCCAGCGGGGATATCGAAACTGCCCTTCGTCGACGAGCACCGCCGTATATTGATTACGACCCTATCCGGGCCGCATCCTACCTTCGCCGTCCTCAATCTTGTTCCGATTTTTTGTCCCGACTCTGATCGTGATTCTGCACGTGTCGTGACCCCGTCTCTGACCCTGACCCGTTCTCCACCGATCAGATCAAGGCTCAGGAGGTGGAGCTGGCCGGCAGGACCCGGCCAACTCTCATCAGCTACACCAACGTCACCGTCACCGTCATCGACCAGAACGACAACGCGCCCGCCTTCGAGAAGGATCTCTACGAGGCGTTCTTCGACGAGAACATCGAGCGGGGGACCCCCATTCTCAAGGTGGGAGATTGAGGGCACGACGCCACTTGTGCGCAACCTCAAAGTCGAGTGACGAAACCCACTTTAATGCGCTTTTTCCATTGCGATACCATGAAATTAGAGCTTAATTAATATGGACAGTTCACTGCCAATGGCCCACCTGTTCTTACGGCCCTGGCACCATCATCACCAAGGCCGTGTTTGGCTTTCGCTGCCGGCTTGTAGACAGGGTCTTTGTGCGGGCGACACCACTACCTCAAGGTGAACGCCTCGTCCACACAATGGTCAGCCTGCACCGGCCGCCAAAGGCGACAAACGGGCGAGTTTGTCCTGCCGTGCGCGCATTGACGCCGGACGCGGCGCGCCGGCGGCAATCGGCGTCCAGTGACGTCACCGCAAACAAAGAGAACCGCTGATCTGGCGGGAATCCGCGCCATTGGCGGATCTGCGCCGCAAACCCCGCCCTAATGAGGCCCGGTCACGTGATCCGGCTGTTAGGTGACGTCACCGGTCGGCCGAGTGCGGGGTCCTCGGATCGGAAGAGGCCTGAGGGACCGGCTGGGCGGTAGGACAGCTCGCCTGTCGGACAAAAACGCTGACAGTGATATCACGCAACACGAATTCGAGAAGCCGAGCGCCTGGTAAACACGTGGGCCGTCTTCCGTACCTCATCAGATATTCTGGAGCGACAGACCATCGTTTTTGTTTCTCAGAGAAGGCCGATGACCTTGTTTTTTTGTGGCTACCTTCGTTAACGAATACCGATCCGGACAAACACCGCGGCGCTGATGCAGAGACGAGAGGACTGACTGGCATGCAACGCATAAAGTATGTATCTGAAACACGAAAAGACCGTTTTAACTCACACGGCTTGCAGAATGGCACATTGTTGACATGTAGCCCCTCTACTAGAATACTATTCATTCTACTACAACACAAACCGCACGCACACAAAGGAGAGCAGATCTTCGTCATTATTTATGCGACGTCGGTATGACGTTGGTATGACGTCGATGTCTTTCGTCATCGGTGTGTCCTTTTCCTGATGGCGTTTAACTTTAACAGTGTAACATCACTGCGTGTCGTACGCCTGGTGTCATAACCGGTGTCATGATACCAGTGTCATCACTGTGTCATCAGTGTCGTCGTCGCCGTCTGACAATCAATATCGTGACGTCATTTGCGCCCTGCCCCCGCCAGGTGGCAGCCATTGACGCCGACCAGGCGGACGGCGGCCGGGTGGTGTACTCGGGACTGACCGGCGACAACGCCGATGACCTGACCCTGGACCCGACCTCCGGTCAGATCTCGGTCAAGGTCACCAACCATCGCTTTGACTTCGAGACTCAGGAGGGTGAGTCATCAGAGGCGAGCACCATAACAGACATGGCTGATGGGCAGGTTTTACGTAAAGAAACCATGTGTTTACAGTTTCTGACTTTCGAAATGTTTTTGTAGCCACATTAGCCGAGAACAGCCGCCGGACTTGTCGGCTGTTGTTAGAAAACTATTTCCATTCATGGTAGTGGTGGCTGTCATCTAATGACGTCATCGTATCCTCGGAATCCACACACAGCGGGTTGACGCAACATGTATTTCGCGTACAAGGGGTTGCCATGGCAACCTATTAAAATGATTATTTTTGGCATTTCATCTGTAGAGTACCCGTCGCCGGTCACTAACACGGAAAGCGCGTTAACCTCAACGGGCCTTTGATGACATCGCGCTGTCGTCACAGAGTACCGGCTTCATGTGTTCGTTAACCCCAACGAGCCTCCGCTGACGTCACGCTGTCGTCACAGAGTACCGGCTTCATGTGTTCGTTAACCCCAACGAGCCTCCGCTGACGTCACGCTGTCGTCACAGAGTACCGGCTTCATGTGTTCGTTAACCCCAACGAGCCTCCGCTGACGTCACGCTGTCGTCACAGAGTACCGGCTTCATGTGTTCGTTAACCCCAACGAGCCTCCGCTGACGTCACGCTGTCGTCACAGAGTACCGGCTTCATGTGTTCGTTAACCCCAACGAGCCTCCGCTGACGTCACGCTGTCGTCACAGAGTACCGGCTTCATGTGTTCGTTAACCCCAACGAGCCTCCGCTGACGTCACGCTGTCGTCACAGAGTACCGGCTTCATGTGTTCGTTAACCCCAACGAGCCTCCGCTGACGTCACGCTGTCGTCACAGAGTACCGGCTTCGTGTGTTCGTTAACCCCAACGAGCCTCCGCTGACGTCACGCTGTCGTCACAGAGTACCGGCTTCGTGTGTTCGTTAACCCCAACGAGCCTCCGCTGACGTCACGCTGTCGTCACAGAGTACCGGCTTCGTGTGTTCGTTAACCCCAACGAGCCTCCGCTGACGTCACGCTGTCGTCACAGAGTACCGGCTTCGTGTGTTCGTTGACCCCAACGAGCCTCCGCTGACGTCACGCTGTCGTCACAGAGTACCGGCTGCAGGTGTTCGTTAACCCCAACGAGCCTCCGCTGACGTCACGCTGTCGTCACAGAGTACCGGCTTCATGTGTTCGTTAACCCCAACGAGCCTCCGCTGACGTCACGCTGTCGTCACAGAGTACCGGCTTCATGTGTTCGTTAACCCCAACGAGCCTCCGCTGACGTCACGCTGTCGTCACAGAGTACCGGCTGCAGGTGTTCGTTAACCCCAACGAGCCTCCGCTGACGTCACGCTGTCGTTACAGAGTACCGGCTGCAGGTGTTCGCCACCGACAGCGGGGTGCCGCAGCGGACGGGGACGGCCTCGATCGTGCTCACCGTGCGGGACGTGAACGACAACCCGCCCGTGTTCACAAGCCCGATGTATAGCGGCAAGCTGAGTCCGAAGGGCGACAAACTGGAGGAGGCCGTCCAAGTTCTCGTGAGTGTTGCCCGAAGAGTGGGGGCCCGCCGCGGCTCGCGAGGAGGGCGATGCAGTGGGAGGCTGAGTGGAGGCAAGAGGACGTCTCCATGATGGGTCGATCGCGGCCTGGTTGAGTGATGTAGGTTCGTTAGAGGACTGAGGACTGAGGACTGAGGACTGAGAAAGGCGCTCCCGAGGGACTGTTACTGGTGAAGCATGCCATGCGTGTACGGACCAACGTCAGGGCAAAGGAAGAGAGCGTCGTTTTTCCTAAACGTTTGGAAATTTGATCGCTTAAAAACATAAGCATCAATATTGCTAAGCCTTTAACATCATCAGCAATTGCTATGTATGGAACGTCTTGATAGATCTGTGCCTGGGGATCATTCGCTTATCAACATGCTTAGTAATCCAGCAGTTGTTAATCCATCTATCAGTTAAAGGACTTGCAAAACATTGCAAAAGGTAACATCAGCACCTTCCAGAACCGCGTACCTGAGGCGACATAACCTTGTCTTGACCTGACCTGACCTGACGTGGTGACCTCTCGACCCTCAGGCCGTGGATCGCGACTCGGGGGCCAACAGCAAGGTCGCCTACCGGCTCCGTGGCAGCAGCAAGTACCGCGACAACTTCGCAATCGATCGCAACACAGGTGTGATGACGCCATTCCATGTCCATCACAGGTGTGATGACGTCATTCCATGTCCATCGCTCGCATATTCGCCTGGCTGGTGGTCGCCTGGCACGGCGATTTCCCGAGAAAAAGAACTCATGTAACTGCAAACTTTGATATTTCTTACTTTCATGCACTCTGTGCACCGAAAGTGCCGTGGTAAAGCTGCGCGTCTGGGAAGTCGGAGACACGGGCTCCACTCCCCGCAATGTCCGTCGTTCCTGCCTGGGTGAGAGACAAGCAGCGCCATAGGGCCTCAGCAGCTGAGAGCGTCGTAAAGCCCCAAGGACATCCACATGCAGTTATTAACTCACCTGAAGCGATGCTTCCCCCCCACTTATGTCCGCTCCCTCCCGTGTCTCTGACCTCTGACATGTACCCTTCCCCAGCCGCTTTTCACGTGGACGCGCATCGTCCTTCTCGAGCCCTGGCACCGCCCCTGCGGTGACCGCAGCCTTGACCGGCAGGCGAGCTGAGCGTGCGGAAGCCGGTGCCGATGGAGCTGACTGACAGCAGGGACCCGCGCCGGCTGCCGGAGAACCAGCCGCTGACATTCCAGCAAGCGGGGTCCGAGGCGGTTAACGACAGGATCGAGCTGCAGGTCGAGGCACACGACGAGGGTGAGCTGGAGAACACGGCCCCGTGTCCTGAGTATCAGCACGACGAGGGTGAGCTGGAGAACGCGGCTCCGTTTCCTGAGTATCAGCACGACGAGGGTGAGCTGGAGAATGCGGCTCCGTGTCCTGAGTATCAGCACGACGAGGGTGAGCTAGAGAACGCGGCCCCGTGCCCTGAGTATCAGCACGACGAGGGTGAGCTAGAGAACGCGGTTCCGTGTCCTGAGTATCAGCACGACGAGGGTGAGCTGGAGAACGCGGCTCCGTGTCCTGAGTATTAGCACGACGAGGGTGAGCTGGAGAACGCGGCTCCGTGTCCTCAGTATCAGCAATGCGGTGCGTTGGGATTGCCCTGAATGAAACTGGGATCACTGGATGTTTTTGCATGCTTGGGCGAGGGCGGTCTTTTCAGGTCCGTGGCTTTCGATAAGCGTGGGCGACTTTGACCAGAGGTTGATGGCGGGTGTGGAAAGAGAACCATAAAGGCTAGCGAGCCAAGCTTGACTGAGCGTGCACACATATGGCTTGAGGTATGTACCGCACCTCTCCCATACCCCACTCCCAGCTCGTCACCAGTCTCGCCTGGCTTCGTGCAGGTAGCCCCCAGCTGTTCAGCAAGGTGCCCGTCTACATATACAAGAAGGAAAACGTGCAGACCATGACATTCCTGGTAAACGAAGACGTGGACACCGTCCTGCAGAACCAGGTGCGCCATGGGTGCAGCTGCTCAGGACGGCGGACGTCGTCTGACGGCGGAAGAAATGCGTTACATGCACCCTGGAGCGAGTAAAGCGCGCTCCTTGGCTAGGCCTTGCGTAGGCTCGACCAGCGGGGTTCTCGAAGCGAGGGAGATGCTCAACCGGCCGCAGGCTGTTAACACGCGCCCGGTTGGTTGGTTGAATACCATCCGCTCGGGTGGGGGTCAGTTTGCCCCCCCCCCCGAGATCTCAGAAACCAGGAGAGCTAGATACACAAAATTCACAATGTATCGGGCTGTACATGAAATCACTTGGGGAAAATTTGAGATTCCTGGATTATTGCCTTCACGCCAAATAAGGCAATATTTTAGATTTGGTGTCCAAAGCGTCTCGGCACACTCGCATGCAACCACTGTGAACTTAGATGCCTGTTCTAAGCAAAAGGTCACTTGTGCCAAACTGGGGTTAGTGACTTTCTTTGATCTTTCGAAGGTCATGTTAGCCAAAATTACAAAAGACTGATTAATTTTTGTGTCTGAATAAGTGTGAAGAATTGCGTTACACAGTATGTTCGTAAAAACAAAATGGTGACCTGGGTCGTTTTAGGTCAATGACATATTCTGACCTTTAAGAAGTCTATGGAAGTTTCATGATGCACTCGCTGTAATCAGTAAACTCAAACTGAGCACCAGAAACTGCCCCATACAGCAAACGTTATAGAAAAAAACAGGTCGGTTTTGACCTCATCATACCTGACCTTAGGTGAATGAAATTTGTTAAGTGAATTGCTGTGTTGCCCAAGAAACCTCCCAGAGATGTACGGCTTTGTCTAGCACTCCGCTGTTGCATCAGATTAAACGATTCCCTAGAAACTGTCTTCGCCGAATCCATGGCCTGACTTTGACCTGCCGTAGGTCAACGACCGTATAGGGGAATCTAAATCTTCAATACCAAACGATCTGCTATTTAATCACCCACAGCTTTCTAAAACACGAAGTGGAGCGTCAGCTGTCGGTGTTTACGGTTGTGGTGTGACGTCTGCCGCAGGATGATGTGGAGCGTCAGTTGTCGGTGTTCACGGTTGTGGTGTGACGTCTGCCCCAGGATGATGTGGAGCGTCAGCTGTCGGTGTTCACGGTTGTGGTGTGACGTCTGCTGCAGGATGATGTGGAGCGCCAGCTGTCGGTGTTCACGGGCGGCACGGCCACCATCACCAACGTCAAGCGATACGAGGGCGACGACGAACTGACGGGCAGGAACGGCCAGCAGCTGTGAGCGTTCGCCATTAGACGGCGGCATTCGGCGGACCTTGTGATGACCTTGTGATGACCTTGTGATGACATTGTAATGACCTTGTGGTGACCTTGTGGTGACCTTGACGGCGGCGCTGTGGTATTCGCCATCGCAGTGGTCGCACTCCGGTTCGCCGTCTTACGATGCTGGTGCTGGACAATCCACTGGTCTTTGTCATATAATGGCAGCAAAATTGGCTAGTTCGCTGTTGTGTCAGCTCACCCGCATCTCAGTCATGTTGGTCAGAGTGTTTGGGCCTCTTGCCTTCTCACTCAGATTACGCATGCGGGCTAACATCACCACGGGGCGCCTTTGATAGCTTGGGAGTGGTTCGAGGGCTTGGATTTGGGAGCCCCTGACTGCCGCTGACGACACCACCTCTGACCGCAGAGAAGGAAAGACGGCCATTACAGCCAGGGTACATCGGCCGTATGACGCCATCTTCGACACCACCAGTCTGGGAGGAGGAGCAGGTTCTAAAAATGAAGACGGTGGCACTGATGTGAGTCCGTGAGAAACCGACATCCCTTCCGGACCTGTTGGCGTCCTTAACCTGCTCCCAGACGTTTGACGTGCGCGTGCCGTGTATGTGTCTTGAGGCGGCACTTTATCTGCGTAAATGCAGAATAGCGCCATTTAAAAGATATTAAAGCGTTGTCATGGACGGGCTGCGACCGATGCCTCCTCACGGTATGCTCCCTGGACATCAGCTAGCCGCCAAAGTCATCGCTGTCGTTGCCAACAGGGGGGAGAGGCTATTGATCAGGCAGCAGTGAACAGCGTCTGGTTCTGGCTCCTGATAGCTCTGGCCCTCATTATCATCATCATTCTTATCATCGTCTGCTGCTGCTGCTACTGCTCCTGCTGCTATGCCTGCTGTCCTCTCTGCAGCTGCTACAAGTGAGAACGTAGTCCAGAGTAAGAACATAGTCCAGAGTGAGAACATAGTCCAAAGTGAAAACGTAGTCCAGAGTGAGAACATAGTTGCTGGGTGCCACTAGTGCAGCTATCCTCGATGCTGGAAGTGATTGCGATACTCAATAACTTTGCCGTGATCGTCACAAAAGCATCATAATCTAAAACACGTATGCTGCTGCATAAGAAAGGTCTCACAACGGCTCTAACGTTTGGAGCAATGGAACTAGCTATGCGTGATATATCGCTCATCAGTGCGCAGCCTCACCAGCGGCATTCACAGGTAGACGAGAGCATACCGCGCCATGGTATATGTGGACTTTGGTGGTTGTTATTTGCGTTGTGTGAATGTGACGTACAACTGATGTGGTCCACGCGACGCAACAACTAATGTGGTCCACGCGACACAACAACTGATGTGGTCCACGCACCACACCTGCCCATGAACCCCCTCCCGTGCCCAGACTGTCCCTGAACACCCTTCCTTCCCAGGTTGCTGCCTACCCCTCCCCGCACCCAGGCTGCCCCTGAATCCCTTCCGGTCCCAAGGGTGGCCCTGAGCCCCTCCCACTCCCTAGGCTGCCCTGAACCCCTCCTGTGCCCAGGCTGTTGCTGACCCCCCCCCCCCCTACCGTCCCAATGCTGCCTCTGAACCCCCTGTTCGTGCTCAGGCGAAAGATGGTGAAGGAGTACGACGAGGAGGCGGTGGCGTACGTCAACGTGAACGGCGGCGATGCACAGCAACTGAACCGCAGTCACGGGCGCGGTGGCAATGTCCTGCAGAGGATGCGTTCTGCCGTGGCCGGTCCGGCGGAGAGGGTGCGGTCAGGTGAGGCAGGGACTCCAATCAGGATCAGGGGAGTCAGCATGGTCCGATTAGGATCAGGGGCGTCATTTTAGTTCGATCAGGGTCAGGCAGATCATAAGGGGATCAGCTCGGGATCAGAAAAGTCATTACAGAGCCAGATCAGGATCAGAAGATTTCTCAGAGTCCGACTAGAATCAGGAGAGTCATCGGAGAGTCATATAACGATCAGAAGAGTCATAAAGGGAGTCAGTTCAGGAACAGTAGAGTCATTAGATGGTCTGATCAGGATCAGGAGAGCCATGAAGGGGTCAGGCCAGGATCAGGAAAGTCATCAGAGAGTCAGATCTGGTGCGGCCGATCAGAAGCTCTGATCACCATCAGATGGACAGCAGCAAACGAGGCGCGAGTCTTCGTCCTTAGTTACACCTTGCCTCTCTCGCGTTGTTCCATAGCGTGAGGGATGGTGAGTGACGTCCGTGGCCCTTACATGTGGTTGCCTTTATATTAAATTAAAGATTGCGTGACTGAATGAGCAATTATCTCAGCTGGTTGCCCGTTGATCAATATTCCCATTTTCGCAAGTCATCTTCAAAGCAGAGTGTCACCAACCTCTGAAGTCAGAGTGTCACCAGCCTCTGAACTCAAAGTGTCACCGATTCCTGAGGTCAGGGTGTCACCGATCTCTGAATCCAGAGTGTCACCGATCTCTGAAGTCAGTGTCACCGATCCCTGAGGCTAGAGTGTCACCGATCTCTAAACTCACGATCTCTGAACTCCGAGTGTCACCGATCTCTGAAATCCGGGTGTCGCCTATCTCTGAACTCAGAGTGTCACCGATCTCTGAAGTCAGTGTCACCGATCCCTGAGGTTAGAGTATCACCGATCTCTAACCTCACGGTCTCTGAACTCCGAGTGTCACCGATCTCTGAACTCAGAGTGTCACCGATCTCTGAAGTCAGTGTCACCGATCCCTGAGGTTAGAGTGTCACCAATCTCTAAACTCACGATCTCTGAACTCCGAGTGTCAGCGATCTCTGAACTCAGAGTGTCACCGACCTCTGAACTCAGAGCGTCACCAATCCCCTTTTTCAGCGGCCAGTCGCCAGGCGTGGTCCGGCAACGGTCGCTACCGCCAGCTACCGGCCGGAGGGAGAAACTCTCACTCGTCGACGCTCCGCTTGGTGGACGCGGCTGAGACCGAGCCGGGCCGGGAGAACGTGGTGATGCTGCGCCAGGGAATGGAGGACGAGATCTCACGCGTGGTGCGAGGCGGCCGCGACAACCAGATCGTGCTCGTGCCCAACGAGATCGGCAGCCTGCACAGGTCTAGCTCCAGGGCGTCTCGGGTCAGTGCTGGTGACCTGCTGAGGTCAGGGTGGAGCGACGCCTTCCTGCGCTTTACGAATGTTGTGTAGGACTGGCTTTTAAGCTCCATCCAGTGTCAGAATCAGGGGTCCGCTCTCGAGTCTTCCCGTGCTTTACGAATGTTGTGTAGGACTGGCTTTTAAGCTCCCTCCAGTGTCAGAATCTGGGGTTCGCTCTCGAGTCCTCCCGGGCTTTACGAATGTTGTGTAGGACTGGCTTTTAAGCTCCATCCAGTGTCAGAATCTGGGGTCCGCTCTCGAGTCTTCAAGGGTATCGTAGACGTGTCGCTATCAGCGATCATCGACCCCGCCTTCTCCTTTTCGTTTACTACGGCCTTGACCACTGACCTGTGAGCCGCGCTCCATGACCGCCGAGCCGAGCTCGATGACCTCTGGCACGTGAACTTTCGCCCATGACCTCTGACCACGACCCCTGACCGCGCAGGGCGGCCCCAAAATGTACCGGGTAATGCGCGACGGTCGGCGCCAGCTCCAGCTGGTGGATGAGGACGGCTACCGCGTGGAGGACCTGGAGCTGGACGACGCCAGCCTGGACCGGCTGGAGCAGGAGCGGAGGTCCGTCGTCCTGGACGGGGTGCGCACCGCCTCCCGCCGCACGCCCTCCGTCGAGGTGAGCCACCGCCTCGGCTGAGGAGCGTCAGCGTCCACGTCACGGCCGACCATCGACCCCGCCTTCTCGATAAGTGACGTCGCGTCCACGTCACGGCCGGCCGTGACGTGGACGTGGAGCATGCAGCGGTCTTCGGCGGTTCAGGGAGTCTGCCCCGATAAGTGGGAGGTTTGGACTGTAGGCTTATAGCTGTGCATGACAAGAAACAAATATCAGTGTCATGCCCCCCCCCCTTCTATCGTGCTGATGGCAATGGCATATACCATAGCAATCTCATAGCAAAGCCGCTGTATGCCCGGTGGCATGAGCTGTGGACGATGCCCAATCGTAGGTGACCGGACCACAACAGTTTCGTCATACCTTCGTGCCCCACTCAGGGGTGCTGCAAAAGCATGGGTGGCATGAGTATCACTACCAGTCCAGGTGTTGGCGAAGGATGAGCAGAACACTCCATGTGTCCATGTACTCTGGCCAAGGTGCTGACTCTCGATGGCCACAACACACCCGTCACACCCGCGCTTCCCGTCCCCAGGTGCTGACTCTTGATGGCCACAACACGCCCGTCACACCCGCGCTTCCCGTCCCCAGGTGCTGACTCTTGATGGCCACAACACGCCCATCACACCCGCGCTTCTCGTCCCCAGGTGCTGACTCTTGATGGCCACAACACGCCCGTCACACCCGCGCTTCTCGTCCCCAGGTGCTGACTCTTGATGACCAAAACGGGGGCAGGGACGCCGAGTACCACCGCAAGGGCCGCAGCGACTCGCTGCGTCTGTACACGTCTGCCAAACGACGCCAGAGGGATTTCTCCCTCGACAGGGACGGAAACCCGATCGGTAAGTGCGGCGGAGAGAGTGGCGAGCGTGGAAGAGAGAGTGGCGAGAGCGGCGGGAGACTGGCGAGCGCGGAGGTGGGAGCGGCGAGGGCGCCGGAGAGCGCGGGCAAGCGTGGGAAAGAGAGTGGAGGTGCGGCGGAGAGAGTGGCCAGCGTGGGAGAGAGAGAGAGTAGCGAGTGCGGCCGAGAGACTGGCTAGCGTGAGGAAGGAGGGACGAGTGCGGTCGAAAGAATGGCGAGCGTGGGGGTGAGAGGGGTGAGAGTGGCGGAAAGAGCGGATGAGCGCGGGAGAGAGAGTGGCGAGTGCGGCGGAGCATGTGGCGAGCGTAGAGGAGAGAGGATGAGAGTGGCGGAGAGAGCGGTAAATTGCGGATGCGCGGAGGATGGAGACTGCTGTCCTCACAGCACACCAGATCAGTGACTATCCCGTGCATAGTCTGGAGCAAACGTCCCAAGTACGCGTCGTGAGTGCATGTCCCTCGCCTTACCCCCTCAGGGAGTCACTCCGCGAAGCCCCTCGCGATCGAGAGTCATGTGACGTGCTCCCCCCGGCAGAGCGTCCGGTGTTCCGTGGCCGACCGCGGGACGACCAGGACGTGCGGTACGGCCAGCCGGTGGGGCCGCATCGCGCCGGGCCGCGCCGGCGCACGCGCAGCGAGGTCATGGTGGTGCACGAGGACGACGAGCTCGAGGAGGACAGGCTGGAGGATGAGGACGGCCGGTTGGAGGACGATGGCGGGGGCGGCAAGGCTATGATCATGACGCGCTTCATGAACAGTCAGGAGGGTGCCCGGTGAGTGCATGAACCGTCAGGGGTGACCAGAAGAGCACGTGGGGAGCCGGGAGGAAGGCAGTGATACATGAACCATCGGGAGAAGGGGGCCTGGCGGGTGCATCAGTCACAAGGGTGCCTCAGAGAAGAGCATGAACAGCAAGGAGAACCCCACTAGGTGACCAGAAGCGTCAGGGGTGACCAGAGGGGCACATAAACAGCGAAGGGGGGGGGGGGCGAGATGAGCACATTGAAGTTTTGACCACGCACGCCCGCCTTCTGAACAGGTACGAGTCGGACCAGCTGCGCAGGGAGGAGGAGGAGGAACAGCTAGACGTGCAACAGTCGGGCCAGCACGGCGTCACAGTGACGTCACTGACGCGGCGTGGTGACGTCATCCAGGGCGAGGCGCGTGTGTCGGCGCGGGCCATCAAGACGCCGATCCAGGAGGAGACGCAGAGCGTGCTGGAGAGGGAGGAGCGGGAGGTGAGGGGTCACGGCAGAGGTCCGAGGTCAGGGATCAGGGGGTCAGGGATCAAAGACAGGGGTGAGAGGTCATCAGAAGAGGGAAGAGTGAGGGGTCGAGGGCAGGGGCCCGAGGTCAGGGGTCAGAGACAGGGATGAGCGGTCATCAGCAGAGGGTGGAGTGGGAGGTGAGGCGTCGAGGGCAGGGGTACGAAGTCAGGGGTCACGAGGATAGGCGTCAGGGACAGGGGTGAGCGGTCATCAGTACGTAGCGGTAGGGGGGCTGTGGCCAAGAGTCGGGGATGTGAGATCAGAAGCCAGCAGGGAGGTGGACATGAGAAATCACCGAAATCGGAGGTGGCGTGGATAGTGTGTAACCCAGTGTGAGAGCATGATAAAAAACATGATATGCAGTACAATATGCATATATCTTGTAATGTAATTTTGTTTGCATGATTAAGTGTCACCTGCACAAGATGTAAAAAGCTGATATGAGGTAGAGGAGATAAGTCAGTAAACTCAAGGCAAGTAGCACGAAAAATCACGGAGAATGGCGGAAACTGAGCATCGTGACGTCTCCAGCCCTGACCCTCGGCATTCCCTGATCCTGACCCTGACCTTGGGCACTCCCTGACCCTGACCCTGACCCTGGGCACTCCCGCCCCCCACTACAGATCCACGCGCCGCTGCCGGGCTCACCAGAGCCGCTGTACGCGCAGACCAAGGCGTCCATCCTGCGCCGGCGCAACAGCAAGGCGGTACTGCAGGAGGAGCTGCAGCAGGCCGGTCTGCTGCACGCGCACCGCCAGTCGGACGGCGGCGAGCCGCGCCGTGCCTCCGATGACTCGACCGGTGCAAAAAAACGGGGGGCGCCGGCGGTTCACGCGTGATGAGGCCGCCGGCGAGATGTACGAGTCGAAGCTGCATTATGCCGAACATGTGCAGGTGGGTGTCAGATGGGAGTGGGAGGAGTGAGCGGTCGCTGGGTGTGAGGGCGCTCCAGAGGCTATCACTGGGAGGGAAGCGCTGTACTGGAGCGTCATGACTATGTGAGGGTCCAGACCTGACTGCTTGAGCGACGCCTTCGTTTTAAAGGCTGATGGATGTTCCAGAAAATGAGGAATGTTCCACATTTAAAGATAGTGGAGCAAGCATGCAATATGATGGTATCAGCTCACTGATAACTATTGACACGCTCATTAGTGGCAATGAGTGCACTAGACAGCATCATTTCTCTGTTTAGATAATATGCTCCCCATTGCGTCATTGTTTCATAACGTCACCGCATCTCGCACAACATTGATTGAGGACCAGTTCAAGAACATTTTGTCTGGAAATCGTGCCCACGAACACCAGACATGAACGACTCGACAATTTTTTTCTTGACCTTGATCGCCGCATGCTTGGAATGTCAGGAATGGCAGAATTTGCATGGCATTATTATCGCGTCATAGATGCCCGGATGTCCTTGAAAAAGTCTCCGCGCAATAGTCCGCACATCTTCTCGACCACGTAGCTCAGAAACTGGAGAGGTTTAGGTCTGAAGAAGGACAGAGCTGTGACACCGCACCGAATGATCCTCAAAACGGCTATTTCGGCTTAAAACGCCGTACAAATGTGGAATACACCCTTAGATGTTGGCACGTTTTGGCTTTTTATGAGAGCTATGAGGGCAGAACTTATTGCTCACACCTAATTTATCCGTGTGTGCCAGGCGGAGATTGACCCCATATATCCGTGCGCGCCAGGAGGAGATTGACCCCCGTATATCCGTGTGCGCCAGGCGGATATTGACCCCGTATATCCGTGTGCCCAGGCGGATATTGACCCCGTATATCCGTGTGCGCCAGGAGGGAGATTGACCAGCGCGCGCGCCAGGAGCGGCGCGCAGCAGCCGGGGACCGGCTGGATGCGCCGCGCCAGTACCGGCGCCAGCGGAGCCGCAGCGAGGAAGCGGCAGAGCCGGGCGGCCGGCGCCGCTCGCGGGACCAGGACGAGCGGCGCGACCGGCGCCGCTTAGCACGAGGAGGAGCCGGCGCGCAGCCGCCAGGGCGGCGAGGGCCGCGGACGGCAGGTGGCACCTGCGCACCGACGCGCCGCTCTGGGCTCGACGGCCAGCCTGCGTCAGCTGGACGACTCGCCGGCCGGGCTCCCAGCTGAGCCTGCAGTTTAGTAGTCATATGTTGAACGAGACGCGTCAGCAGCGGGCTGGCTCGCCTGCTGCTGGCGGCGTCGGGCGGAGGGAGGGGCGAGGGGTGGAGAAGGGAGGGTGAAGACAGGAGGAGGGAGAGTGACGAGAGGAGGAGAGATGGTGAAGAGAGGAGGAGGGAGGATGAAGAGAGGAGGAGAGAGGGTGACGGCAGGAGGAGGGACGACGATGATAGAAGGAGGACCGACGACGGCAAAAGAAGGAACGACGATTCCAGACGGAGAGACGAGGACAGTAGAAGAAGGGATGGCGGGGACAGAAGAAGGTGATGAAGGGAGAAGAAGGGACGATGCTGACAGTAGAAGAAAGGATGAACCTAGAATGATAGATGAAGACAGAAGGCGAATCACGATGACGAGGGAGAGATGCTGACCGTGGGAGGGAAGGTGAAGTAGAAAGGAATGGGAGAGATGTCACGAGCGGCATGAGAGCGAGAGACGACCGGTATAGAGATGATCAACGTGATCAGAGGGATGAGAGGAAGGAAGATCAACGCGATCGGAGGAGGAGAGGAATGATGATAGACGCGATCGGAGGGAGGATAGAATAATGATAAACGCGATCGGAGGGAGGAGAGGAAGGATGATCAACGTGATCGGAGAGAGAGAGGGAGATGGTCAACGCGATCGGAGGGAGGAGAGAAGGGATGAAAAGGGTTCCGGGAGGCGGAAAGAGAGAAACAAACAGCCGAGACGAGGACAGAGACGGCAGGGGCAGCGGCGAGCGGAGCAGATGGATAACGACGGCCGCAGAGCGTCGGGGTCAGGGGACCACGACAGCAGAACGGAGGACTCAACCACCTCTCAGATCACGGCAGGTGGGAGCAGCTCGTCAGGGAAGGCCGCCCGCGACCGCCGAGGGTCGGATGAACGCCGCCGAGACAGCACCAAACAACGGGACGGAGACAGGCGAGTCTTCGTCGAGTAGGGACAAGCAGTCGAGAGATCGAGCGGCTGGCGATGAATTGCGCGAAAGCAAAGAGACCAAAACATCAAAGAAGACTTCGAAAAGTGAGGCGTTGAAAAAGAGGAGCGAGTCCTTGGAGGTGGACGGCAAGAAAGTTGAAGAGCGGTCAAAGAAAGACAAGAAAGACACTCGAAAGCGGACAACGGGGGATGCTGCCGCTGGAGCTACCACTGGAGAATCCAAAGACACCACACACTCGTCTAAGGAAGACAAAAAACCTCGACGCTCCGACAAGAGCAGTAACAAAACTGCAGACGGAAGCAGTAAGGAGAGCAAAACCAGCAAGGACAGCAAGACCACCAAAGAGAGCAAAACCAACAAAACAACAAGGGAAAATCCCGAATCAAAGTCAACGAAGAGCGACAAGAACAACGACACTAAAGACACCACCAAGCAGCATGCTTCCGAGACGGCCAGCTCCGACCCAAACACTGGCTCGTCTGACTCCGCCCCGGCGGCCTCCTCCTCTGGCGGCGCCGTGGTCCTCCGCGCCAGACCCGGGACCTCCCCGGAGGGGCTCCCGAGGCCCCCGGCCGCCACAGCGACATCAGCGGCGACAGCGGCCATCGGCGATGTCACGCGTCAACGTGCGACGGTGGACGTGACGCAGCTGGCCGGTGGCGCAGCGGCCTGAGCGCTGGCCGCGCCGCCGGCGCCGGCGACGACGACGACTCGACGCTCTCGTCGACGCTCGTACCCAGTGCTGTGAGGCGCAAAAAAGAACCAGTTCCTGGAGAAGAAGAGCATCTCACCATCGCCTACGATGACGTACACACGCACCGGCTGCGCAGCGACACGCCGCACGAAGCGGACGTGTAGGGGACATCGCTGTGTCGGACCAGGCACAGGCGAAGGAGGCGGGGTGCTGTGGAGGTTCGCTGGCGGACGTGTAGGGGACATCGCTGTGTCGGACCAGGCACAGGCGAAGGAGGCGGGGTGCTGTAGAGGTTCGCTGGCGGACGTGTAGGGGACATCGCTGTGTCGGACCAGGCACAGGCGAAGGAGGCGGGGTGCTGTGGAGGTTCGCTGGCGGACGTGTAGGGGACATCGCTGTGTCGGACCAGGCACAGGCGAAGGAGGCGGGGTGCTGTGGAGGTTCGCTGCAGATATCCTGGCACGGGCGGAGAATTCCGAGAAGGGCTGACGTGGTGGGGCCGCCGCGGCGAGCACATTTCGCCGGCGAACTGTTAATGTGCACTGATATTGATGGAATAGAGAAGGGAGATAGACGATAGAAGCCCGTTGGAAGACGAGGCTGGAAGATGGAAGATGGAAGATAGGAGTCCTTTGCCCGTTGCGCTCGTTGCCACACACGCGTATTGTATTATACACGGACAGGAACGGCAGACGACACAGACGGGTGCTGTGCCGATCGGAACTAAGACATACGCAAGGTATCTGTTTAGAATCGGACGGAATTGTTGCTGTGGGAACAGATGCGTGGTTGAGTAGCTGGCGTCGTGCGGACCGCCCCAAAATAGCTTTGTAATCGCTGGGCGATGCCTGAGGCAGTGCTGAAGCCTGCATTTGTGATTGCATGCTCTGACCGGTGTGGCTGCCGTTCTGAACACCGAAGCGCAAACCTGTGGCCTTACACGTGTTTTCGTGGATGTAAAATGCGATGCTAATCTGTGTACATAGGCATGTGCTGTATTTTGGTATTGTCCTCCCATACACATCAGTCGATCACAGTTGCAGTCATTACACTCGGGGCTGGTTCAAATCCAACTGAACTGGTGATTTGTATCATTGTGCAATACATCAATCCGTGTGAGAAAAAAAGTCACCAATGGCATGTCGCGATGGTACCAACGGTATCACAAAATCACGGGCCGTGAACTCCTAAATCACGTTTCATGGTGTTCTTCTGGGTCGTGTTTTTGTGATAGCTCTACTGTGTTCTGCCGGCTTGCTTGTCCGCAGCATCTGCCATGCAAGAGCGCCGTGCATACCTGCGCGATACTGAGCAGCATACCACAGCATTGTCGAACTATTGTGATTGCACATGCTTACGCTCTTTGTAAGTGTAGCTGGGCAGACTTCGAGCGCAGGTTTTTTGAACGACTCCGTCCATCTGTCGGCTTTCTATGCAGGTGTGTGCCTGTTCAGTGTTGGCTTATTAGCCTCGATTGCAGGTTCAACAACGAATATCCGTCCGCGCATGCGTGGTGTGCGGCCGTCTGGCGATGTGATTGGCCCTCGCCATTTTCCGTCCATGTTGCCCCGCTCACTTGATGTTGGTCGTGCGGTGGGGGCGCCCACGAGGCTGGCGCGCAGGGCGGTGCCGGAAGCCCGCACGATCGCGGTGGAGGCGCGGACAACACGGAGGACCGCAGTCGAGAGCGTCTGCTGGACCGCCAGACCGCCGCCCTCGCCGGGTCCTACCGTTCTGACCAGACCAGCGTGAGGTTCCACCGCGACCCTGCGCGCCGCCACGCGCTGACGCTGCTGATGCTGGGAGGTGGGCGTGGGAGTCGTCGTCGCGTTCAGCGGAGCGGCCGCCATCGGAGGGCGCCGCTCGTTCAGAGGAGCGGCCGCCATCAGAGGACGCCGCTTGTTCAGAGGAGCGGCCGCCATCAGAGGGCGCCGCTCGTTCAGAGGAGCGGCCCTCATCAGAGGGCGCCGCTCGTTCAGAGGAGCGGCCGCCATCGGAGGGCGCCGCTTGTGCCAGTGACGGTCGAGCCCCGTCGCTGTGGAGCCGCTGGCTGCGTGTGC